CTCCGGCCCTGCCCAGCGGCTGCTCCCCCGCAGACCGGGCCGCTCGACGCGCTCCCGGCAACGCCGACCTCGCAAGACCCCGCCCCGCAGGAGCCTGGGGACGGGAGGGAGGAAAGGAAGGGCGTGACCCAGTCCCTGCCCCGCGGGACAGGCCTGCCCTACCCAGGTCTTCTGCTGAGCCGCACGGGGCCGCCCGCATCTCCCGCCGCTGCCCGGCACAGCCCGGGGCCTGTCCGGAGCCTCCCGCCGCCCGGGTCCCCCGTCCCGCGGGCTCGGGGGTGGATGGCGCCGCTGGAGCCGGGCATCCTGGGGTGCAGGCCCGTGTGTGCGACAGCAAGGCAGGAACGCCGGGGGCTGTGGAGGAAACTGTTTAGGTGTGCGGTTTTGCTCATCCTAAAGTATCGGTTGGTTGTTCTTTAGTATATTCTAGATTTTAATTACTTGGATTTCTTAATGAAAATTTGTGCAGCACAGATTCTTCAGGAGCACAATAAGGGCTCTTTGTGTTTTCCTGTCTAAGTAGCCTACTCAAATAGCAAATGAGAAATGCTGACTAAAGCAAGCACATGAAGGGGAACAGAAGAATGCTGACACGTGGGGCTGTGGTGTGCTTCCCCAAAATAATAAGGGAAGTTTGAAATGGTAACACTCATGTTTGAAAACAATCTGAAGTTTCTGAGGAAGAAGCAACCTGAAGGGTTTGAGTCACGAGTATCCCAGGCAGGACTTGGTTCACGTTTTCTCAGTCCTACGGTAAACCATGGAACAGATTCCAACCCCTCTTTGTTGATGCATGAATCACACTACAGAGCCTGATTACTAGTTACTATTGTATGGCTTTGAACAACCATGTTCCTTTAACGCACTGAAGAAATATGTGGGCAGCTCTACTTCCACAAGCAAAACATTTGTTTTGAACAGATTAATTACAGTCTCTGTAATGAGGTTCAAAGGTACAGTATTATTCACTAGCAAGATTTGTTTAGTTATGTTTATACATTTAGACAGTAAGAAAAAAAATCATGAAAAAATGAGACAAAAATAATTTCTTTGCACACCTTTCTGTGGAAACAAAAATGTCGTGCTGGATGAAACAAGAGATCCATCTGCTGTTGTCTCTGACAGTGTCTGTGAGAAGTACCAAGTGTTTCAGAAATTTTGCATAAGAGTTAAAAATAGTGAAGTTCTCCAGATCCTTGTATTCTGCTCTCCTCCTCCTGATGATGAGGGTATCACCACTCCATCTGGCACTGAAGTTGTTGGTGCCCATGAGGAGTCAGTAGACATGAACACAAAAGTTATGCTCTCATACTTGGGTTTTGCCTTTGCAGATGAGGGATGAAGAGAGTGGGCTGTACTGCGTGTGTAATAGTCCTTGCAAGGTCTTGTGCTGCAGTGTCAGTTCTGTTTTGAAGTGCAGGGGGGATTTACACTCCGAGGCTGCTGAGTTAACACTTTGGGAAAACTAAGCCCAAAGACAAGTTTCCCATTAAGGTGGTTTTAAAGTGAGATCAAAAACTGCTCTGAAATCGTGTAGGCTCTTAAAGGATTAGGGCAGGGAAGCGTATTTTTATGTCATTATATCATTACTAAAAAGTGCATGTTAATGAAGAGTTATTAAAGATAATGTTTTTGAAGAACATGAGAAAGGTAGACAATGAAGAGCGACCCTGGATAACTATCTCCTTAAGACTTCCCATTTAATATTTACCTATGTACTAGAAACAAGAAAATAGCTAATAAATCAATAATTTTAAATTAAACATTGTGTCAGAAGCAGGTGTTGACACCTATCATGAGTAAGAAAGCCAAGTTCTAATTTCAGTATTTTCTACCTTTTTATGTTAAGATCTGAAAATGTTCTGCTCTTCAGAAGTTCATTGCTTCCGTAATGTGAACAGCTGCTGTTGTAACGTTTTTGAAGGGTAAAACCAACCATGATAAGACTACTTTCTCAAATAATAATTCGTGAAACAAAAATATATTCATCTTTCATCAACAGCTGGCAGATAGGCCATATTAATACAACTCAGAATACTCGGGATTATTGACAAACATATGTGAATATCCAGGTTTGTAAGATGTTAACTGGTGCCAAGACTTCATTTAATAATGATTGCCTGGAATTTAGTATTTCTCCTAGGTTCTGACACTTTGTTATATCAAGATTTCAGGACTTTAGTCACTTTGAACTGTACTTTATGAGTACAGCCTCCACTGACTTTGGTGGAATTATGCACAACAAAAGAGACTGTTCATTAGGAGTGACGAAGAAAGAATTTACCACGTAAGTAATAATTAAAGGACAAGAAATTCATATGCATGAATATCTGCATAGGGGCCATGGGGGTTGTTGGGATGGCTGACTTTTGAAGTGTGGCAACATTCAGATATGAAATCTGGTGTAGCCATTCCCCCAGTGAACAGACTTGTCTGTCAAAACCCAGTACCTGGCCCATGTCTGTGTCCTGCATTATGGGGATGTGGCTCTACAGGTTTCCACGCACTCAGATCCTAGGATAAGAGCACATACCAAGAAGCTCGGAATTCTTTTCTGAATTGGGATAAAACTGAAAAATATGGGAGTGCTTTCTTGAACTAGAGCCTCAATCACCAACTGAGTTAAACTGGATTTTTAATACCTATATAATTACTTCTGAGAAAGGGTTGGTCTCCTAAACTTCAGAAACATCATAGTGAAAAATACTAGGCCTCATTAGGGGAATTTCTTGTTAAAATTACAAAGTTATTTTATTTCAGTATTGACTTTTATCTCCTTATTGCTCCCTCTCAACATACATGATGCTACAATGAGAAATTGGAATACTGAGAGAATGTCAGAACATCTGGAAAGTTTAAGTTTTTCATAAAAACAACATTTTCCTCAAAAAAATCTGAACAAATGTAGTTGCACAAATAGAACAAACAAGTCTAGCTAGACTTTGTTTTTAATTGTGTGTTACTAAGACACTGACAATGCTCTGAGCAGATGTGCAAATTTTGGGATGTATATATGTATTCCCTTGTCCAAGTTCTAAGTTAATAGACTTGGTCCATGCATGATTTTGAAAGCTTTTTAAAATTTGTGTTAAGAGCCTGTAGCAATGCCACCACTGGATTTTTAATTATTTTTTTTTTATAAGGAAGTGTTAATTTTACAGAATCTTTTTAAAGCTATGCTGAGTTTTCCATGAAAATCCGTTTTGTTCTTTCTATGGTAGCATGTTAGTCACATTTACATTGCTGTAGAAACAGTAAAAATAATTTTATCTTTTGCAGTGAGTTTCTATTATTTCCACTAAGGTAGACTTGGCAATTAGGTACATTCAAAATGAGAAATATTCACTTCAAACATGAGATAGTTTGAGCCGGTACATTGTGTGCTGTATAGGAAGTTGAACGACTAGAACGCTTTGCTGCCCTCTAGGTGATGAATATTTAGCTAAGCAATATTCTGCTATTTTGCAGAGCTCAAAAAGGATTTTCTATAGATAGGATTTGAAATCTTCTACGTGTTTTTGAGAGTACAAAACCAGTTACTGAAATGCTGAAATTAATTTTACAAATCATAAACTAACTTCTAAGTCTATTGATTTGCTTTGAAATCTCTATCAAGTATTTTGTCAAGCAGGTTTTATCTTTCCATTAAATTTGGAGATGTAGTGGACAAATAAAAGTGGTAACCGTAACACCAGAAATTACGTTTCTGCTTTTATTACTGGTTTCTGATAGGGTTTTGAAAAAGTGGATGGAAACTAAAGGATGTATTGTGGGGCTACATAACACGATTTTGTACTGAACTGAAAGACTGCTGAGGTTTCCAGACTTCAGGGCTTCAAAATGCAGTGCTGTATTCTGTGAGCGGCTCTAAAAATGGGCTCAGCACCCTCTCTCAGGTCTCTCTCGTGGGTTCTACAGAAGCAGGGCGGTATGGATGGATCTCGCCCTCCCCGGCTTGCTGGATTGTCTTTGGGGTGCCACTGAAGAGCGGGTGCCACCTACTGTATGGCTTTGGAAATCAACTTCCAGCAACGTCTACTTGCTCCCTTTGCTTATTCGCAGCTTCTGAAATTCTGCCTTATATATTTTAGTTATTTTCAAGAAAAAAATAGAATCGAAAGTTCAGCGTTGAAAAATAACAATAATTTTTAAAGGCCCGAAAGCAACACGTAGTGCTACAACTTACAAAGCTTTATATTATATATATATTTTAAGGCACAATAACGTTGGAGCCTCCCACAGCTATGACACCGCCCTACAGTTTTAACCTAACGACCACGCTTATAATAAAACACGGACTCTAGAAGGCCATTTAATACTCTTCGACGCCGGGTGCCCTTACGCGTGGCGGATCAAGCGTGTGCAGCGGGCCGAGCCCCGCCTGTACCTTCTGAGGCGTTTTCCTCGCCGCGGGAGCGAGCTCAGCTCCGGGAAGTTGT